GGGGTGTTTTTTTTTTTGCCAAATAGTGGGGGGGGGGGGGGGGGGGGGGTCTTTTATTTTGGTGGAAATTTACTCTGAAATTTTTCAGAAAAGTTAATTTAAAGTTGCAGCCTTTTCACTTGCTGCCAGAGGGGTGAGACTGTTTCTCTTTATCCAGGTATAAGTCTGATGCAGAAGGGGACAATAAGGAAGGTCAAAAGGAACACAGACAGGTATCACGAAGTAAGCCCCCAAAGGGCGCTAAGTAATCCAGGCAGGTGTCACAAAGTCCACACCCTAAAGCTGGAAGGCAGCGTCCTGTGGCAAGCATTGTCTGTTCTGTTTACCCTGTATCTCAAGCTCCTGGAACAAGGCTATGTATCGGATATAGTTGGCCCTCAGTAAACATTTGCCAAAGAAAAGAAGAAAGGAAGAAAGCAGGGAAGGAGGAAAGGAAGGAAGGAAGGAAGTTGGTTTTAGGGTGTTAGAAAGGTATATAAGGTAAAAAGTAGATAAGGTATAAGGTATGCCTTTATGAAATTATTCCACTTCTACCTTTTAAGTTTTCATATTCAGGTTATACATATGATAGAAACACATTTAGTTATCTTTTTCACAGCTGACACTGACTGTAATTCTCCCAACCAGAGACCCTAATTAACTTTCTCTTCTTTATAAACACTTAATTTCTTAGGATCTGAAAAATGAATACAGGTCTGTAAAACTCTGTGGCGTGGCTTTTATATAAATTTACCTTCATGTAACATCAGGTCTTCTCATGCCTGCCTCTTAAGTGACTGAGGTTCAAAATGGCCTGCAAGAAGATTATTATTTGCCTCCCTTGGCCCCTTCCTCTGCCAAAGGCACCATTTGAAAAGTGCACCCCTCAAATCAGAAACTAATAAAGTAGCACCAGCCAAACTTTGCCCTTTCATTTTTATCCCCAGGCCAGTAACCTTCTGGGAAAGTCTTAAATATTAAAATGACTTACCAGGAGTATACACTCTGTTTTGTTTGAGTCCATGGATCTGCACTAACTTCTCTGCCATGATAAACATGGGCCTCTGGATTAGAATAAACTTGTTGTTTCCCACCTCAAGCTTTTGTCTCATGAAAGTGAAAGTTCCAAGTCCTGGAATCTGAACCCCCTGAAAGGAAAAAGGAAAAAAAAAAAAAAAAGAAAGCAACAAACAAAATTCATTGAAGGGGTGAAGAAAAATAATCCTTAGTACTGCTAGTCAAAAAACATGAAGTGAATTTAGCTTAGGCCTTAAAAATTCAGTGATCTCTATGACCCCTACTAGCTACAGCATTTTATAATTCTAAGTGTACTACAAAATGTAATATATTGATCCAAGGTGCTTTACAGACATCAAATCCCTCATCTCGATGTCATTAAAAGGCTGTGAGGACTAAGAAAACTTGCGTGGATGCCATAGCTTCTTTTAATCCATATCAAGATTACTCTTGTCATACATTGTATGACATTGTAAATTTTAATCATTTGCCACTAGAGGACTTTAAGGGGGCATGAGAATCTTTGCTTTCTCATTTCCTCTCAGATTTTGCGTTTCCCGCTTAAAATCAGCCAACCCAGCATGCAAGACATAGGCTACAGTGCAGTGATCTTGGCTGATGGGTAGAAGCAAATGCTTTTGGCTCTCAGACTGGATTTTTGTCCCCTGTAGATATTATACATCAAGGGCTGCAAGTTCAAATGCCTGCAGGGGCCAAGAAAGAATGCAAGGGAGTGAAGATGCCAGCCAGAGAATGGTGGCTCAAGAGTTCATGCCCCATTTAACAGGGGAGCCCATCGTGAGCTCCAGTCTAGTGTCAGCACACAGGAATTGAAGACTGGTATTGTTAGATATGCTGAGCTTTTAAGAAAAGGGAGAAAAAAACCCAAAACTTCATATAAACTCTTCCAATTTTAAGTGATCGCAACTAATTTAAATTCTCAGACCAAACAAAATTAGCTCGAAGGATGAATTCAGCCCAAGGGCTCTCCTAGCGGGACATCTGAGTAGGGTACAAAAGTTCCACAACTTCACAAGTCCCTCTAAGCTCTTCCCAAAATCTCCATCCAGTTCTATGGCATCCAAACCCAAGACTTGACAGGAGGAAATAGTCCAGCCCTGCGCAAAGTTTCTCATTTTGGAAGGTTGAGTTTAGTTCCTGTCTTCTTATATTTCAATTAAAATCCATTCCCTGCAAGGAGGCAAGACAAGAAGCATTATACTCTTCTACAGGTATGCCAGGAACTACCAGATCACAGACAGAGGTCATCTAGTTTCTTTTTTTAAAAGTCCTGGGCTGATACAGAGCACTATACTCTGAATCACTCTGTATCACTAGAACAGCAGAACTTACAAATTCATTACCCAGAATAAAATCCATGTTTGTTAAATCTACTACCCATATGTCCTAAGTATGAGCATCATAAAATCACAGGACTGAAAGTTAAACTAGGTGGCTCTAAAGTCTATTGCCCTGCTCCCAGCAAAATTATACAAGGCTAGGGAGAAAAGATCCTCTGGAGTCCTATGGTAAAATTAAAGTACAAATCCTACCTTGTGCAGGGTCAGCTGTCGTTCCACAAATTCTGACACATTGCCCCAGATAGTAGAGACTTCTGGAATTCAGAGGACACCATAAATAATTTATGTGAGCACCGATATTATAGTATCTTAGTTCTAATAAATAAAAATGTAAATATGAAATGCAGAATCAAATGACAGTTATTCCTAATTACTTTAGAGTTAACAGAAAATAAAGTCATTCCCAAAAGTTAATTTTCCTGGTAACTAAAGCTTACCCCTTTAAGTTCCAAAAACGTGATTTAAAAATTAATAATGATAATAAAGATTTGAAAAAAATCCTTCTAGAATAAAGGGAAATCTCTCACACATTTCCCTTTATTCTATAAATAGAATTATCCCAGTGTAATCTAGCCCCCCCCCTTTTTTTGGCAGCTGACCCGTATGAGGAATGTAGCCTTTTTTATAATGACTCATTCAGCAATCACGTATCAGGTGTCTACTCTGTGCCATCTAATTAATAACATTTATTCTTATACCATTATATAACACAGGAATAAGGCCAAGGGGCACTGTAGCATGAAAGGCCGTTGTCTATACATTAACTATTTCTACATATCTATTTTTTTGCTAAATTCTCAAATCTGCTTTTCATTCTCATTTTTCACTGCTAGTCTACCAGCTGTCACTTCTTTCTGCTGCCTGTGCTCTGTGGGCTCCCTGGCCAGTCCTAATTCACTGCTTCTGGTCTGCTGTGTTCTGGAAATAACAAATATACTAATATTATGTCTAAAATAATAATGTTTAAAAACAGACCTTTGCGTAGGGGCCCAAGGGGGTTTACTTCGAATTACTGCATAGACTTTGCACTACCTACTTTGATTGGAGGGAGACCTTCTACATTTGTTTTCTTATTCTGAGCTGTGTTCAAAAAACCTGGTAGAAAAATAGTTGCCAATAACTAAAGTGTTAATGTGCAATATGAATGTATTCTCTAGGTATGACTAAGATTTTAAAATACAGAAAATTATGAATGTGTTGACATCTCCATTTCAAATGTAATTATGTGTTCATCACAAATACATTCCAGTTGGGAACTCTTTGCAAATCAACTGGGTGTTAAGTTTTAATTCTCAAAAGAAAAGATCAAGAACAGTGACATTTACCAAGTTGCCACTCCGGGACACAGATGCAGTCAGTGATGAAAGGCCAGTTCTTTCCCCACTTTGGAAACTGTTTGATTTATTGTTATAACTCTTTTTTTAATGGTTTAAACCACTAACTAAAGCAGGAAGATTGAAATCTTTTAATTCCAGTATATCAGGGTTACAAATATTTTTATTAATAAGCCAGGGAAGGGGCTGGTTTGGTGGATGGGAAGTAGTAGTGATTCTCATAAGCCCTGGGGAACAAGCTTGGGATGAAACTCACGCACCCACCAACGAAACTAGGGCTGCATGCCACGGTGACATTCCCCTCACTCTAAACCATGGACGTACGTCTA